AGCCTCGTCTAGCCTGTCTCTATCCCTAATACCAAGTCTATGACTTTTCATGTCCTAGTCCCTTGTGTGCCAACCCACAAAGGTTGTGGTACTGCTGGCTTTGATAAGATTCAATGTTGAACCAGAACGTTTGTGGGTTGACACACAAGCATGTAGCAAAGGCATGCCCATGAGACTTACTCTGAGGCTTTAGCCTTTAATCAATTACCCAGGTGCAGGGGATGGACGAATTACCCCTCGAGTAGCTCAAATGGGGGGGCAGGATTCAAGTGAAATACGTGTACCAGGGAGATAGCAGATGGATTCTACTGGGCAAGAGGGAGACTCCGACAGGACCCAGGAAAGGACTACGTAACAATATGACAGACCCTGGTCAACATTCCCAGCACAAGGGGGAAGGGGGTGATAACGACAGCGTGGAGTGTGAAGGGTCTTTCATGAATGCCGCTCGAAGGGGCACACGACACTACATTAGGAATAAGCACGGTAAAAAACTGAGACAGGAAGGCATGATTAAAGGATATAGGAAATGTGAATAGGCCAGGGCAGAAGGCGAGATACCATAACTGTTTAGCACACGTTTGGTCAAAGGATCAGCTTCATTTGTCTATTTGACGAGTTTTAATATAGTGCTACGAATGGCGAGACTCACTGACGATGCCGACTACTATGCCAGCGAAACGTTTGGGAATGTACCGTGTACACGGTCCGACTTTGGTAATAATTATGCATACAATGGACTTAGGACAAGGTGCGTTCCTATAAGTCTTCCTACCAATATGACCAAGTTGCGAAAACAAGGTTAAACAACTTCTATACAGTGTTATTTTCTCTTTATAAATAGCCCCGATGTCCTATTTCCTCAATAATTCGCCTATCTTCTTATATACCATGGCAGCATAAGGACTCTGGTTGACTCATTTAACCTTTTATATAGCTCCATATATGCATTTTTTGAATCTTATTTGGCAATATTCTAAAATAAGTGTCAACCAGTCCTTATGGATAATTGTTCTCAACCAGAATTCTTCTTAGTCTTCTTATATCCTGGTCTCGATGGTTAACATGTGTGAGATGAAGGCTCCTTATTATCATAGATTTCATAAATCCTACCTTAACCCCATAAATACTGTTAGAAAAGAAATTCAGAAGGAAACCTGCGTTTTGGGGTTTCCTATACACATCTATACCTAACCTAGTTGAAACGTTGCTAACTAAGACATCTAGACAAAGGAAAACTACTATGACTTATGGAACATGCTTTAGAACATAAAAGCACACAAAATAGGGGAAATATATGATCTACT